GCATGTTCGGTCTAGTGCGAGTTGGTTTACGCAAGATCCTGGCATGTGGAAGTTAAGAAAATCAGAATTTCGGCTGATCAACCAGATCGGCCCGAATTTGGCTGAATTGCTGTTTGGCCCAAAATGAATCTCTAATTATCAATTTATTTATTTTTTAATAAGAGGAACTGAATCTAATAATCTTCTACACATCTTAAGAATTTAGATAGCAGATATATAGAATCTAGATATCTATACATTTCTATTCTCTTAGCTATTTCAATCTAAATCTGGCGTTAACTTTGTGCTACAAAAATGTATTTGATTTGATTATTTTCTCCTGGAATTTTTTGCACTCAGAACCCATTGCAAAGTATGCTAGGTCAAATACATATATACAGAAAGCAGATTGCTTGCACAATTTATGAATGGAATAGAAGATGAAAATATGAAAAAATAAAAATGGGTTGCATTCTGTATATTTATTTATGTATATATGCAGGACAATATTCTTTGAAATTACTAGTTGCTTATAGTTAAAAAAAAAAGATCAATCTTAAATAACAAGTAAAATATATAGAATAGCTAAACTTTATAGCTTTTTCTTTGTTTTATTCTGTCAGATGTATTTTAGCAGTTTTAACACTTAACTGTTATTGCTCATTGATATAACACCTTAACAGTTCTTTATGTGTTGTATACACCCATATGCATTAAAACTATCACCATGAAGACTTGAAAATGTGATGATTCAATGGTGTTCGCTATTAATCTGAAAAAAAAACCAGACAAGAGATGTATTTTGTTTCTTTTAGTAGGAACCTGAAAACTTTACATTTCTTTATTTTTTCATTATAAGATTTTCTATTTCTAATTCATACTGCAATACATCCTGCATATCAACATAAAACATACAATCATACAATCAGAGATGACAACAATAATAATCATTAGTGATGTACCGAACGGTTCGCCGGCGAACGGTTCCTGGCGAACATAGCATGTTCGCGTTCGCCACGGCGTGCGAACATATGCGCGGTTCGACCCGCCCCCTATTCGTCATCATTGAGTAAACTTTGACCCTGTACCTCACAGTCAGCAGACACATTCCAGCCAATTAGCAGCACAGCCTCCCTAGCAGACCCTCCCACCTACTGGACAGCATCCATTTTAGATTCATTCTCAAGCTGCATGCTTAGTAAGAGGAGGGAAAGTGTAGCTGCTGTTCATAAGATAGGGAAAAGCATAGCTAGGTTAGGGATAAGGGTATGCTTTTTTTGGATTTTTTTTTTCTATCTAATGTAAATGCACTTAGTTGTCTGCCACTGCTGCCAGCTTCTGTGTCAGGCTCACAGTGCCCATTTCCCCAGTCAGCGCCACCAATTACATCTGGTGTCACAATAGCTTGGATTTAAAAACAAAAAACTTTTTTCACTGTTATAGATTGAATAGCAGTCAGTTGTCTGCCACTGCTGCCATCTTCTGTGTCAGGCTCACAGTGCATACTGTGCCCATTTCCCCAGTCAGTGCCACCAAATACATCTGGTGTCACAATAGCTTGGATTTAAAAACAAAAAACTTTTTTCACTGTTATAGATTGAATAGCAGTCAGTGTCCTTAAAGCGGGTGTGTTACGCTAACAGTGGATACGCTGACCAGTGCCACTAATTAGATCTGGTGTCACAATAGCTTTGATTTAAAAACAAAAAACTTTTTTTTACTGTTATAGATTGAATAGCAGTCAGTGTCCTTAAAGCCGGTGTGTTACGCTAACAGTGGATACGCTGACAAGTGCCACTAATTAGATCTGGTGTCACAATAGTTTGGATTTAAAAAAAAAATAATCTTTTTTCACTGTTATAGATTGAATAGCAGTCAGTGTCCTTAAAGCGGGTGTGTTACGCTAACAGTGCATACGGTGACAAGTGCCACTAATTAGATCCTGTGTCACAATAGCTTGGATTTAAAAACAAAAAACTTTTTTCACTGTTATAGATTGAATAGCAGTCAGTGTCCTTAAAGCGGGTGTGTTACGCTAACAGTGGATACGCTGACAAGTGCCACTAATTAGATCCTGTAAATACAATAGTTTGGATTTAAAAAAATAATCTTTTTCACTGTTATAGATTGAATAGCAGTCAGTGTCCTTAAAGCTGGTAAGTGTTACGCCAATAGTGGATACGCTGCCAAGTGCCACTAATTAGATCCTGTGTCACAATAGCTTGGATTTAAAAACAAAAAACTTTTTTTACTGTTATAGATTGAATAGCAGTCAGTGTCCCTAAAGCGGGTGTGTTACGCTAACAGTGGATACGCTGACAAGTGCCACTAATTAGATCCTGTGTCACAATAGTTTGGATTCAAAAAAAATAATAATCTTTTTTCACTGTTATAGATTGAATAGCAGTCAGTGTCCTTAAAGCGGGTGTGTTACGCTAACAGTGGATACGCTGACAAGTGCCACTAATTAGATCCCGTGTCGCAGTAGTTGGGATTTAAAAAAAATAATCTTTTCACTTTCAGTACATAGATTGAATAGCAGTCAGTGTCCTTAAGCGGGTGTGTTCGCTAACGGTGGATACGCTGACCAGTGCCACTAATTAGATCTGGTGTACAATAGCTTGGATTTAAAAAAACAAAACACTTTTTTCACTGTTATAGATTGAATAGCAGTCAGTGTCCTTAAAGCGGGTGTGTTACGCTAACAGTGGATACGCTGACCAGTGCCACTAATTAGATCTGGTGTCACAATGGTTTGGATTTAAAAAAATAATAATCTTTTTTCACTGTTATAGATTGAATAGCAGTCAGTGTCCTTAAAGCGGGTGTGTTACGCTAACAGTGGATACGCTGACAAGTGCCACTAATTAGATCCTGTGTACAATAAGCTTGGATTTAAAAACAAAAACTTTTACTGTTATGATTGAATTAGCAGTCAATTGTCATAGCGGGTGTGTTAAGCTGGCACCAGTGGATACGCTGACAAGTGCCACTATTAAGATCTGGTGTCACAATAGTTTGGATTTAAAAAAAAAATAATCTTTTTTCACTGTTATAGATTGAATAGCAGTCAGTGTCCTTAAAGCGGGTGTGTTACGCTAACAGTGGATACGCTGACAAGTGCCACTAATTAGATCTGGTGTCACAATAGTTTGGATTTAAAAATAATCTTTTTTCACTGTTATAGATTGAATAGCAGTCAGTGTCCTTAAAGCGGGTGTGTTACGCTAACAGTGGATACGCTGACCAGTGCCACTAATTAGATCTGGTGTCACAAT